ATGGCAGTGGAGGACATAGAGAAGCACCGTTGCATGGACAGGCACCCCCAGAGTGGGTGCTGGACGTTAGCTTGCCTTGCCTGGCTCACGATATTCTCCAAATGAGAGAGGCAGTTAGTGAAGTGAATAATTTTGCAATTCCCCTGTATTTGCTTGGGGATGACACACACTTTTTTATTCTCTCTCTCTCAGGGATGGCATTCCTCCCTGCCAGTATATCCTACCTCATCGGCACCAATCTCTTCGGGATTCTGGCTAACAAAATGGGCCGGTAAGTGGAACGTGAGAGTTTTCGGCTCAACCCAGCGCAGTCCTGCGCTTTCAGCATGAATTACACTCGTGGTGTTGTGCGCACTGAGAACATCTGCCCTCTCCCAACTGCGGCCTCGTTGCAGGTGGCTGTGCTCCCTGATCGGCATGGCTGTGGTGGGAATTAGTCTCCTTTGTGTAAGTAGCACAAGACAATTTCAAGACCTTTCTGTAGAAGAATCAGCAGGGGCAGTGTGGGCGGTAGTACTGAGATGGGGTTCCGTGCCTGGCACTCAGTAGACGTTCAGTGGTTGCATGTGTGTATCGGTTTCACAGACCTATGTTACACCTCCACACCTCACACAGCAATTCTGGCCTCATTCATATATCCTCTCTCTCTCCTCTCAAAGGTACCTCTGGCCAAAAATATTTACGGGCTGATTGGCCCAAACAGTGGGCTTGGCTTTGCCATAGGTAAGCTGTCGGTGGCCAGGCTGTGCAACACAGCTCAAATGCAGCTCTCACCACTGCCCTCAGTGAAGGCGATGGCTGATCGGGTCCTTCTTGCTTTGGGCAGGAATGGTGGACTCCTCAATGATGCCTATCATGGGTTACCTCGTGGACCTTCGCCACACCTCCGTCTACGGCAATGTCTATGCCATAGCTGATGTCGCCTTCTGCATGGGCTTTGCAATTGGTATGGACGAACTCTTACCCATGGGATGACGCACTCAGTGTGTGTATCACTCGGTTTATCGCTCCTCCACCCAGCGTTCACTGCAAGCAACCGGCACTGAGTCTGCAACCCAGTCACTGTAGATTTATAGACCCCCTCCAAACTGGAAAGGCACCTTTTGCTCTCTGTCATCTTAGCCTTTTTTAACTTTTAAATTTGCAGGTCCATCCACAGGCGGTGCGATTGTACGAGCTATTGGGTTTCCCCGGCTGATGATCATCATTGGAGTTATCAATATTGCTTACGCTCCCCTCTGTTGGTACCTGCGCAACCCTACCGCTAAAGAGGAGAAGATTGTGAGTTTAAGTACACTTTATTCCCTTAAAGTATAGGGGATTGATAATCCAGAGATTTGGGGGGGGATTAGAATAAATTTGCCAGGGATTACGTCTTCTCTTTTGGGCTCTACTATGCCTTCAAAAAAGGGACAAAAAACTCAGACAATAAAACCAGAAAAGTTTAGAGCTACAGTCCTTTCCCTAACTCACAGCTTGTATTCCCTGGGCGAAAGTTGTTGGCTGCTCTGGCTTTGTCTAAATGTGGTAACGCTCCTGTTAACTATTCAAATTAATCACCATTTTTACTAAAGCATGATTTCTTCTCTCCTTTACCCAGGCAATCTTAAGCCAGGAGTGCCCCATGCAAACCAAAAGCTACACCACTCAGAAAACCCTGCGCGATTTCCCTCTCACAGATGACAGCGACGTGGAGGCAGAAAATGCGGAATAGCAAGTGCAAGGATGCGTGCCCTGTCTTGAAGCTACATTTACAGAACATGGATGTATTAGCACCCAAGAATAACCCAGCCTCCCCCAAGACTTGTGGACACAGGATGGACACAGGCCGTATCACTAGCCTGTTCTCTTGGCCATGCAATCCACAGCAGGGAGTAGAGACCCAGGATTTGGAGGCTCTATCCGTTTTAGTTAAGCCACTCATTTGCCGTGTGACTTCTAGGCAAGTTACCCAAACTTACGACATCTCATCTGTAAAAAAAAGTTACAAAGATAAGGAGAATCGTATCATCCTGTCCTGCAGAACAATATTGTCCTGGGCACAGCCCACCCATGCAGTAGGGGATAATATCAACATCTCTCCCAGATGAGTCCAGTGGCATTTGTTAATGTCTTTAAAGCGCTTACAGTTCTTGAAAGAAAAGCACTGGAGAGAACGAAAATGGAATCAGCGGCATCAGCTTTGGGAGATTTCTTTCTCCAGAATTCTGCTACATTCCCCAGCATGAAACCTTTCTGTAACAACAGGGCACTATCCATCTGTGTCACTGCCAGTCCGCCAATAAAGATGTCACTGTACCGCTACTGCGCTCCACGCTCCTCTGAAGACAGTTAAAAAAAGTGTTCATTGCTGTCTCGGTATAGCTTTATGTGTTGTGCTGTTTATGTGCTACTTATAGCTGCTTGTGTGTCCTTTCCAACACCCATTAAATTAATTCATTTATCTGAAGAACTCTAAGAAATTCAGGTAGAAATAAGGCTGAAAGCAGTTTTAGACTTTTAGACACAGAGTCGGCCCACAAAGCTAGTTAGATCACTTGTGATTGTAAGTGACTAATAGAGCATTCTTAAAAATCCCTGCCTCTCAGCTGAGATGGGGTAACAGGCTGTGTTTGTGATCCTAACCCACTGCAATGAGAAGTACAATAGATTGATTTAATTGCCCTTTTGCAATTTCCTGGCCACAAGTTTAGAGAGAGGGCAGCTGCACTGTTAACCGTAATTATTGAGTATAATGGTCTTTAAAAGTATGGTAGAGTTAAGTAAGAGAGAGAGAGTCAAGTAACAGAGGTACCAGATTAATTCTATAAGTATCAGTGATCTCATTTTTTCCAGTGAAACCTCAAACTTACAACTTCTCTGGTTCCACTGTTGGCAGTTTATATAAACTCATTTCTTCTCTTGAATGAGCAGTTGTGTAACGCACAGCCATTTCACTTGCCAGAAAGAACAGATGATTCACTGCTCTGGAGCCCAAGCAGCACAATGCAGATGCGCTTGCCAGCAGGGAGACAGGAGGATAATAACAATTCATCGAGATTTGGTACCTTATGACTCATTACCAAAGGTCATAAATGGCTATTGTCAGGCAATCCCACATCCACGGTGGGCCCATTGCCCCTCGCTTTGCTCATACAAGATGAAATTATATTTCTTAGGCTGACTGGAAATGACTAATGCTAAGCATGTTCTCAAAAACTGGTTATTTTTGTCTTCCACCTGTTTCCCTGCTTTGCCAAGAATAAAAGGAAAAATGTGTTTGCTTTCTGTGATGGAAGGAAAAAATGCGAGCTGTTCTATTTGGGGATCTATTCACACCTCCACAGTGCACCTCCCAGTTAAATATTAACAGTAAGCCCCTCTGCGTGCCCGGTGGCTGGTTGCTCTGGAAACCCACCCCCTGCGAGCACCACGAAAGCAGACGAGCCTCTGATTCCTGCAAGGCGGGCTCCTCGCCAGCCAGCCCTCCCCAGGCACCTCACCCAGCAGCGCTCTGCTGTTCGCATCGGCAACGCAAGTCAGACTCTTTCCTCTGTGCGCTGGTTTTGGCCAGGGTAGAGCTAATGTTCTTCACAGTAGCTGGTATGGGGCATGTTTTGGATTTGTGCTGGAAACAGTGTTGATAATACAGGGATGTTTTTGTTATTGCTGAGCAGGGCTGACACACAGTCAAGGCCTTTTCTGCCTCTCACCCCACCCCACCCCACCAGTGAGCAGGCTGGGGGGCACAAG